ACAGAGGCCAGATTGCCCAGGAAATAATACATGGGGGAGTGGAGGTGGGGGCTGGCCCTGATTAAGATGATGATGCCCAGGTTGCCCACAATGGTGACAACGTAGGTGAGCAGGAAGAGCAGGAACAAGTAGACCTGAGACACCGAGTCCTCTGTGAACCCCACCAGGCTGAACTTGGTCACTTGGGTGCAATTGCTTTGTGCCATGGGCTGGATGGTGTTTTGTGTGTGAGCTTCTGGCTGGGGGTTTCTTCTCCAAGAGGCAGGGATGTCCCAGGTGGAAAAGCCTCTGTGTGGTGGGAGGTGCTCAGAGACAGTCCTGCAGGATGGAAAGGGAGAGTTCAGGCACAGATCAATGAGGAAGAGGTTGGTGAAAGTCCTGTGCCAGCACAGGTAGAACAAAGGGGTGCTCAAGCAGTTGAACACCATGGCACAACGTGGTGTGTGCTCCTCTGGCTCACCTTGAGATGTTGACCAATGACCCCTGTGGAAAGGAGTGGGAAGGTTGCACACCCAGGCAGCTTTACCTTAGTGCTGCACTTCATTGCCTGCGTTAATGCTGAGCCTGGGGCTTGGAGACCATCCTGCTCAACCTGGAACACAGAGAAGCGTGGTTCTTTCACAGTGCACAGTTGATCCTTCATCCTCTCATGGGCATTTGCCAACCACCCACTTCTTCCCTCTCTGCTTCGCTTTCTTCCTAACTGGAACAAATTCCTGACCTATGGAAAGTGCTGATGGAGCAGGTGCAGTACCCATCTGTCTGCAGCTGGGACTTCAAGCTGCATTTTTCACCCTGCACAAGCACACCCAGGTATTCTTGGTGCCTCTTTTTGACTTCATGTAGTTCTTTTCAATAATCTTTTAATTATATATTTTCCTTCTTTTGTAAATTTGATTGAGGGTTATTTCTCCCTCTCTTATACTGATTTTCCCACTTCACAAGCCTTGGTTTTAGCCCAGTACCCAATGGGGACAAAAGACATTCAAAACCACTCAGAAATCCTTTTCTGCCCTCCTTCAGTGCATCTCCTGGACTGTCAGTCTGGTGCCTTCCAGCAGAAAAACAGGTTGACATTGAAAACATCTAAAGCCACCTGTATACCTCTCCTTCTTCCTTCCCCACACTTTCATAGCTTGGTTTTCTCCCCTGATTTCCCCATCCTTTGTCTTTTCTAAATGTCTGGGACAAGGTTGTAATTCAATATTTCTACTAAGGGTTTTATAATGTCTCTTCATCTAGGAGAAGCATTCAGGACACACCGGCACTCAGGATTCTTCAGATGAAGACTGGGAAATCTGACTTCATCCTGCTATATCCTCAAAGCAGCCACGTTTTGAGCCAATGCTTTTGACCAAAGTGGTGTACAATCACTAGTCAAGTGTATGGAAATAAAGCTGTCTTTTAGAAACTAATCCCCATGAGCACCTCAAACCATCTACACAGAGGATGCTTTGTTGTGTTTGTTTTCAGCTCCCTTCAATGCAATATTAGATGATCCCTGTGGATGTAAAGGGCTTCCTCAAGGAAACACTGAAAGGAAGAGGTGTGTGATAGATGGGGAAATACAAAGCAAACTGTCCTGGGCCTGTCTTCCTGGGTAGGTCTCTGCAGGAGAACTGGTCTTGGAGGTGTTGATGCAGCCAGAAGGAGTTTGGGGAGAGAGGAATTGAGAGGTTGTTTTGCTGATCAAGTCAAACTAATTATCCGATGGAGGAGGGTCCTTTGGGAGAACAGTTTGCACAACACAAGCCTCTGAGGTAATGCCTCCTGTGAGATAAAACCCCTCCACCAGCCAGCCTGGAGCATCCTGCTCCCAGGCATCTCTCCTTCAACCCATCGCATGGTCTCCAGGAGGAGCTGCAGGCACTGCATCCACCACCACCTTCCTCTTTAACCAAGCAGGTACAAAAGGGTTTGATGGGTGGTGGGTCCAGTTTGACCCTGGTCATGCTGCCTCTCACATGCTTGATGGCATGTTGAATTTCACTCTTCTTCAGGGACTGTATTGATAGGGCAAGGGGTGATGGGTTTAAACTGAAACAGGGAAATTCAGGTTGGAGATAAGGAAGAAGTTCTTCCCTGTGAGGGTGCTGAGGCACTGGCACAGGGTGCCCAGAGAAGCTGTGGCTGCCCCATCCCTGGAAGTGTTCAAGGCCAGGTTGGACACAGGGGCTTGGAGCAAGCTGCTCTAGTGGAAGGTGTGCCTGCCCGTGTCAGGGTTTGGAGCTGGGTGATCTTTAAGTTCCCTTCAACCCAAACCGTTCTATGATAGACCATAGTGTAAATAAAAGTGCCCTAGTATGCCTAATAGGTTTGCTTCAAAAACACCAACCTTCCTGACCCCATCTACAACTGATTTAGAGATATTTTAGCATGAGAATATCCAAGCTAAAGCCTTAAAATTTTGGTTTATATATGGTATATTTTGTATTTTACACCCTTAGGTGGATATTTGGGTTGGTCGTAGGAAGCTCACTGCAATCCCAGCAGAGCTCTATTAGAGCCAAGACCACTGTATTCCTTTAACCTTATGCAGTGTGGGGGTTCTTGGGATGAGGTTGGGACTGGATGAGTTTTAAGGTCCCTTCAACCCAAAGCATTCTATGATAGCCTGAGGTGTGAATAAACGTGTGCTAGTAAGGGATAGCTCTGCTTCAAAAACCCATGTTCCTCACCCCATCTACAACAGATTTAGGGGTATTTTAGCACTGATGTAGCCATTCATAGATTGATATTCCATCAAGTAATTCATCTGCAGAGGAATTGCATGGCAGAGATGAGAATATCCAAGCTAAAGCCTTAAAATTTTGGTTTATATATGATATATTTTACACCCTTAGATGCATATTTGGGTTGGTCATAGGCAGCTCACTGCAATCACAGCAAGGCTCTGCTGGAGCCAAGTCCACTGCTTTCCCTTAACATTATGCAGGGTGGGGGTTCTTCAAAAGCAGATAAACTTAGAACCTAAAGCAAATTTCAAGTACATGGCTTTGTGTTGTGATGAAAAGGATGCAGCACAAGTAATGAAGCTACAGAAGAGAATTGATCCATTCTGAAAAATACAAAAAAGAGAGAAAAAAATCCTTAAAATTCCCAGAAATCAGTGAAGAAAATACAAAATCTTTTCTGTGTTCCACGTTTTGAGATGTATTTATTTGATTTTATTGTATTACATTTGGATAGACATGATGTTTCTCAGTGTTTCATTAGTAATGTGAATATCAATCATTGTAGAATTATTCTCTTAATTTCAGGTTGTGTAATGAGCTCCTTCACCTCTTTGACTTCAGATCTTTGGCTACACACAGAAATACACCATTACAAATACACCATTTTCTATTGCATTTACTTTATGGATTAAACTCCAACTAAACTTCCACATTATTTCTCTTCTAGGGGTGTATTTCACTGATTCCTTTCAATCCAAATCCATCAACTTGTTGAAATGATGGATACAGGAAACCTCACTGTTTTCTCCAGCTTCATCCTCTTGGGTTTCTCTGATGCCCCAGCGCTACAAACCACCATCTTCACAGTCTTCTTATCCCTCTATGTTTTAATGGTGCTGGGGAACCTGACGATGATCCTGCTGATCAACACTGACCCCCACCTCCACATCCCCATGTACTTCTTCCTGACCCACTTATCTTGCATGGATGTTTGCCTTTCCTCTGCTATCATCCCAAAAGCTCTGGAGACCTTCCTGCTGGGGAGAAGCCACATCTCCTTTTGGGGTTGCTTTGCCCAGATGTATATTTTCGTGGCTCTGGCTGTCTGTGAGAGCTTCCTCACAGACAGCCAGATTCGACCGATACACGGCTGTGTGCAAGCCCCTGCTCTACACCACTACCATGACCAGGGCGCGTTGCTATGGCATGATGGTGCTGGTGTACACCATCGGGTTCCTCACCTCCCTGGTGCACATCACACTGGCAGGGAGGTTGTCCTTCTGTCAGGCCAGGAGCATCAACCACTTCTTCTGTGAGCTGCCCACCCTCCTGCAGCTCTCCTGCTCAGACACAAGCACAAATGAGGTCTTGCAGGTTTACAACACTGTGTTTAACGTCATGGGCCCTCTCCTGATGATCCTGGTGTCCTACACCTACATCCTCCACACCGTCCTGCAGATCCCTTTGGCCACGAGGAGGCTGAAGGTCTTCTCTACCTGCGCCTCCCACTTGGCTGCCATCACCATCTTCTACGCACCCGCGATCCTCACCTACATCCAGCCTCATGAGGCATCCTCATGGGATCAGGCAAAGCTGGTGTCGGTGTGTTACTGCATCCTCACCCCAACCCTCAACCCCCTCATCTACAGCCTGAGGAACAAGGAGGTGAAGGGGGCTCTGAGGAGGCTGTGGGAGAGAAAGCTGCTGCCACATCTATGCAGGGTTTGAAAGCACATTTGGAGCCCTACAGTACTGTGGAGGTAAGGAAGGAATATGTGGAATCTGTGATTATGGAATTGAGCATTACTGGCCATTATTGGTCATTATTGCTCACTACTGGTCATTATTACAGCAAGTGCAGGGTATGGAGAACCAGCACAACGAATGGTTCTCTTCAAACAGCTTCAGGTTGTTTTAAGCGAGGCCTGAGCCTTCAGTAATTCATCCAAATAAGTATCAGGTATTTAATAGCAGGCCTGAGACAGCACCATGTGTTTTGTGTCTAAATTGTGCTAAATGAAAGTAGAGCCCACAAAAAGGAGGCTCAGGCTTGAGGTAAGGCACTGACCACTGTCTCCATTGCCTACTTTATAAGCATTTCCTCAATGATGAACTGGTGGAAGGTCAAGAGGATTTGATACAGCTCTGGTGTCCCCAACACAAGGAGGACATGGAGCTGCTGGAGCAAGTCCAGAGATGCAACAAGGATGCTCAGGGGCTGGAGCACCTCCCCTATGGGGCCAGGCTGAGGAGCTGTTTAGAGTGCACAGAGCAGCTTCCAGTGTCTGAAGGGGACTACAAGAAACCTGCAGGAGGGCTTTGGCCAAGGGCCTGTAGGGACAGGCCAAGGGAAATGGCTTGAACCTGCCAGAGGGGAGATTGAAATGAGCTCTTAGGCAGAAGCTCTTCCCTGTGAGGGTGCTGAGGCACTGGCACAGGGTGCCCAGAGAAGCTGTGGCTGCCCCATCCCTGGCAGTGTTCAAGGCCAGGTTGGACACAGGGGCTTGGAGCAAGCTGCTCTAGTGGAAGGTGTCCCTGCCCGTGGCAGGGGTTGGAGCTGGAGGAGCTTTAAGGTCCCTTCCAACACAAACCAGGCTGGGATTCTGTGAAATAAAGCTCTGACAGTCTGTTGGTCAACAAAGCCTTTGTGCTAAATGGGGACGAGTCATATCTGAGCCTCTGCTCTGCTGAGAATTTAAGTAGGGGTGTAAAGAGCCTGAGTGCAGCTGAGAGGAAGGATCAGGGGTCTTCCTCTCCCCTGAGCACCCAAGGTGCTGCTTGCCTGGGTATCTTGACAAAGCTGATGGAGCAAGTGCGGTACTCAGCTGTCCGCTTCTAGAATCTCAAGCTGCATTATTCACCCTGCACAAGCACACCCAGGTATTCTCAGTGCCTCTTTCTGGATTCATGTAGTTCTTTTCAATAATCTTTGAATTATATTATTCTTCTTTTTTAAATTAGGTTGAGGGTTATTTCTCCCTCTGTTATATTGATTTTCCCACTTCACAAGCCTTCGGTTTAGCCCAGTACCCAATGGGGAAGAAAGACATTCAAAACCACTCAGAAATCCTTTTCTTCCCTCCTCCAGTGCATCTCCTGGACTGTCAGTCTGGTGCCTTCCAGCAGAAAAACAGGTTGACATTGAAAACATCTAAAGCCATCTACATTCTTCTACTTCTTCTTCTCCTTTGACTTTTCTAGATGTCTGGGACATTTTCAATATTTCTACATAGCTTTTTTCTGCCATGGTTTGAGCCAATGCTTTTGACCAAAGTGTCTACCCATCCTTTGTCTTTTCTAAATGACTGGGACAAGGTTATCATTCAATATTTCCACACAGAGGATGCTTTGTTGTGTTTGTTTTCAGCTCCCTTCAATGCAATATTAGATGATCTCTGTGGATGTAAAGGGCTTCCTCAGGGAACACTGAAAAGAAGAGGTATGTGATAGATGGGGAAATACAAAGCAAACTGTCCTGGGCCTGTCTTCCTGGGTAGGTCTCTGCAGGAGAACTGGTCTTGGAGGTGTTGATGCAGCCAGAAGGAGTTTGGGGAACAAATGGTTTTCTTCAAACAGGGTCAGGTGATTTTAAGCATGGACTGAGTCTTCGATAATTCATCCAAATAAGTATCAGTTATTTAATAGCAGGACTGAGACAGCACCATGGTGTTTTGTGTTTAAATTGTGCTAAATGAAAGTAGTTCCCACAAAAAGGAGGCTCAGCCTTGAGGTAAGGCAGTGACCACTGTCTCCATTGCCTGCTTGATAACTGTTCATCCCAAGCGAGCTTGAAGACCTGAGGGAAGGACCAAAGGTTCAATACAGCTCTGGTATCCCCTGCAGTTCTGATACAGTTTTGGTGTCTATAGAATCCTAGAATCATAGAATAGTTAGGGTTGGAAAGGACCTTAAGATCATCCAGTTCCAACCCCCTGCCATGGGCAGGGACACCTCACACTAAACCATATCACCCAAGGCTCTGTCCAACCTGGTCTTGAACACTGCCAGGGATGGAGCATTCACAACTTCCCTGGGCAACCCATTCCAGTGCCTCACCACCCTCACAGGAAGGAATTTCTTCTGTATATCCAACCTAAACTTCCCCTGTTTAAGTTTTAACCCATTACCCCTTGTCCTATCACTACAGTCCCTAATGAAGAGTCCCTCCCCAGCATCCCTATAGGCCCCCTTCAGATACTGGAAGCTGCTCTGAGGTCTCCACGCAGCCTTCTCTTCTCCAGGTTTAACAGCCCCAACTTTCTCAGCCTGTCTTCATACAGGAGGTGCTCCAGTCCCTGATCATCCTCGTGGCCTCCTCTGGACTTGTTCCAACAGTTCCATGTCCTTTTTATGTTGAGGACACCAGAACTGCACACAGTGCTCCAGGTGAGGTCTCACAAGAAGAGAGCAGAGGGGCAGGATCACCTCCTTCGACCTTGCAGCCCAAGATACTGTTGGTTTCTGGGCTGCAAGCACACACTGCTGGCTCATGTTCATTTTCTCATTGACCTGCACCCCCAAGTCCTTCTCTGCAGGGAACAGAAGGCCATGGAGCTGCTTCAAGGAGGCCACGGGATGGGGGCTGGACACATGGGGCTGAGAACACTGGGGCTGTTGGAGAAGAGAAGCTGCTTGGAGACCTCAAACTGCTCAGGAGAGGGACTCGGGAGTGTAGGGATAGGACAAGGGGTGGTGGGTTCAAACTGAAGCAGGTGGGATCCAGATTGGATGTAAGGAAGGAATTCTTTACTGTGAGGGTGCCGAGGTGCTGGCACAGGGTGCCCAGAGAAGCTGTGGCTGCCCCATCCCTGGCAGTGTTCAAGGGCAGGTTGGACACAGGGGCTTGGAGCAAACTGCTCTAGTGGAAGGGGTCCCTGCCCATGGCAGGGGTTGGAAGTTGAGAGCTTTTAGGTCCCTTCCAACATAAACCAGTCTGGGATTCTGTGATACCTGATATGAACATCCAATACATTTATCCTGTGTAAGTGAGCTGGAGCAGTGCTAAGGACTTGTGATAGGCACACATAGGTTAGCATGTGGCCAGAAGTGTGTCCCAACTAAAATCTTCCTGGGATGTGTGGTCCTTACATCTTTTCCTTTTTGGATGCTCAGTACCAGGTCTGTGCTTTGTGGATTTGACCATGTCACATCCCCTTCTGTATGTCATCACATTATTGAGGAGGAAGATGCTCTAAATGAAACAGTAGATGGAGGGGTTTTAATATTTAATCCAAACACACCATTTCTGTTTAATGAACTGTACAATTGCTGGAAGAACATGTACTTGTATAATGACAAACTGAATAAATTTGTGGTTTAAAATAAGCACCTTTGGAAACCGTGGTCTTCTGCAAAGAACTGTGTGTGATGAATAATGAATGAATGCAATGGCAACCAGTCAAAATCTAATTTAAGTTGGTGTGAAGTGAAATGCTCACTTTATAAGCTTTTAATCAAAGTTTCTGATGGAGTTTTCATGAAAAATAGAGACATTTGGACAATTCCCTCAAGAAAAGAGAACACAACATGTGAAGCAACTTATTCAGATAGAATAAGAGAGGGACTCTTCATCAGGGCCTGTAGGGACAGGCCAAGGGGAATGGCTTGAACCTGCCAGAGGAGAGACTGAGATGAGCTCTAAGACAGAAGCTCTTCCCTGTGAGGGTGCTGAGGCGCTGGCACAGGGTGCCCAGAGAAGCTGTGGCTGCCCCATCCCTGGCAGTGTTCAAGGCCAGGTTGGACACAGGGGCTTGGAACAAGCTGCTCCAGTGGAAGGTGTTGGGGTTGGAGCTGGAAGAGCTTTAAGCTCCCTTCCAACACAAACCATTCCATGATTCCATGATTTTGCACAACTGAGGAGGGATGATTCTCATTAACACAATAAAGGAGCTCTTTGCTCCTTTCTGCTCCATTCTTTCATCCTCTGCACACAGGAATACATCAGAGGAGGCTGAATGCAGAGCTGCCGCTGTGTTTAGGGCATTGGGTGGTGGAAAACCCAGTTCCCCTCTCCTTGAGACATCAGGGAGTGCAGCCACAGTAATTGCCATGGCCAGCATCACCTGGGTCCTTCTCACACACCCTCTGCCGAGGGCTCAGGCTCTATTTAAGCTCAGTCCTGGCACTGGGCCCACTTCCAGGGCTGTGCTGTAACTGGGCTTGCTCCTGGTCTGTAACAACCATGAACCTGACTCTCAGTTTCCCCTGGGCTATCAGTGGAAGCTGCTGCTGTGCTCAGGCACAGGGGGACCGTGCTCTGCTTTGTGGTCACTTTCAGCTCCCAGCTCGCCTTCCCATTGGGAATAACTGGTCCTGGCTGCTCCCTTGAGGCACCTTGCATCATGCAAACAGCACAAACAACTCTTAATGAGAGGCAAGACCCTCTGGTGTCCAAGCTAGGGACAAGGCAAGCTCTAATGGAAACTAAGTGTTATAAACATCTCCCCCTCCTTGTCTGTGTCTGTCTCTTAGGGAAAATGACCCCTGTTCAACTGGGTGCTCCAGACAGATTTTGGTTTACTGTACATCAGGCATCCAAATGCAAACTCCTACATCCGGGGGGGGGGGGGGGGAAAGAAGTTAAAATTCTAGGTATAGCCTACAGTGGGTATGCTTAGTCATGATTTCCATGTCCAACTAACGGAAATGATGCTGGGAGTCTTTCTCTTTTATTTTTAGCTATG